TAGGAGACATTGGGTTTTACGATGCCGACGAGTATTTTTACATCGTTGATCGTTTGAAGGAATTAATCAAAGTAAAAGGCTTCCAAGTACGTCCATTATGAATATATGATTATAGTAGGCCAGTATAAAAATATATCCTAAGTTCATGATCTTCCTGTAACGGATGTTATTCACTTTTATTTATTAATATGCAGCGCTGTACAGTAGCGTTCTCGGTGAGATCGAAATAGGTTAAGCTTTCATGGTGAATTTTGTCCACTAGAAGAAATTTTGAGAAACTGTTTCTTAAGGTTTGGCCCCCTCATTGTACGGATTTTCCAAACAACAAAATGCTCTGGAAATAAGTGGGTTGGAGTACTTCTCTCTAAATTTCTAGAGCAACAGCAAAGAAAAGTAAATAGACAAGGGAAAAGTTTCGGTCCGATCCAAGCAGTCGCCTTTTTACCTACGAGAGACTCGATTTGATGGTTGCAGAAGCGTATATCTAGTTCACAGATGAACTGTTGACAACTGTATAGTGTTCAGAGCAGATCGTAGCTCCCGGTCCAAGCTCCACCGGGGAGAGGTGGTATAGATGCTTGGATTAACCAAATCTGGCACACACGATATTCGATTTTATTGCCATATCTATCCGACGACATACGATGTCTTATCCTGCTGTGGGCCATTCCGTTCTTGCCAGGATACTCCAACGTGAATCTGCCAGACGCTTACATCCCTCCCGGAAGCATTCTCTCATCACAGTTACATTCTTTTGTGGATGTTGGCACGAATTGCGTTTCGACACATCTACGAGGGTCTGTGCTCATAGTCGCTGGCAATTTCAATGGACACGACGAAGTATTTGTTACGTGCCTCGGATTGCCTAACATCATCGCTTTTCTACCGCACTCGTCAGCCCCTCTCGACTGCGCAGTAATGAGCGCGACAGCAGCGTTCGGGGAGTCAAACAGCTCATGCTGATTGCTGGCTCCGATCATTGCGTCATTGGTCTATTCTCGACAACATACAGTAAAACGGGCACCGCAAATCCGTCCCTGAAGTTCTTCACCTAAGACGACACCTTGTTCGCCCTGCAGAAGTCCAAGAACACAACAGATTGGTCGATTTTTGATGGTCATTTATTGAACGATCTAGCGGAAGATATTAGTTCCTGCATAATCTTCGTCAGTAACAACTGTCGTCCTTTCCACAAGGTTATACTCAACAAAAATTTCGTAATAACGCCTGTAACAAAATACCTTAACCTTTTGATCGAGGGGGCCTATCGCATCGGTGACATCGTATTATACAAGTGACTTCGGCAGCAGACCCGTTCTTACCCGGAAGTCCAACGTAAGAACACTGAGCAGCGATGCATCAGTATAGTGCATTAAAAATCCATGCAAACAAGCCATGGACGACCCTCACTTCCTTAACGAATTCATGCATTGTTTTGAACGTGATTCGACAGAGATGCTTCCATGCTACGGGATTTGCTAACTACGGAGATTCAAGGCCGTCCAGTTACTTTCGATGAATTTAAAATGAGGCGCATACCATCTCCCTCAAATCAAACACCACTCCTGGGACAGATAGGGTCATGGCCAATGTACTAATGCTATATAAAACCGAACTGAGTGGCATGCTATATAAATTGTGTAATAATTGCCTACGTCCTGAAGTCATCCAAAATTGCTTCAACCCTTAAGACGTTGTAGCAACCAAACAAGAAGAATTTCGACTAATCGTTTTATGTCTTGGTAGCTTAAAGCATTGGAGGACCTCGTTCGACCGCCGGAGCTCCTCAGTTAATTTCAAAGAGTGAAAAAGAGTAGCAACTTGTTTATACCTGGGTTCGCTGTACCGTAGATGTTCTAGCCTGCTGTACGGACTTGCTATCCTCGGCATTTGATCGCGGCAGTGCCGCTGCGAAGGCCGTCTTTGACGTCTCAGTGGCTTTCAACCTCGTACCGAGGGGTGGTGCCATCTCTGTTGTCTGGAAAAGGCAGGTTTGGAGAAGCACCTGCTCCGCTAGCTTACAGATTATCTCTCTGGTAGGCAACAGTTCGGTGCAGTTGACTGTTCTTCGCCCTGCTTCTTAACTTTTACGTGAGCTCGTTATGTGTATCCAGTCTCTTTACCTGTATCATGTATGCTTATGACACAGTGTTTATTTCCTGCATCCAAAAGAAGCCTGCAAAATGCAATACTAGACCATGAGCAATGAATCACGAATTGTAAGAAAAACGGCCAACTAACTTTCCGGATGAGGAATATCAGATCATCTAATCTGTTCTCTCTCATCGAACTTCATATCAGCCTAGAAGGTGAATTAATCCCGGCTTGCGAAACCATAGAATATCACGGAATCATGCTAAGCACTAGACTGGACTTTTCTGACCATAATAACTCAATGTTCGCAAGGGAGATTCATAGGACAGTTAAATATCTACATGGCTATTTGAATGATTCATTGTTCAGAGCACCACAGAGAGTGAATGGTAAACAGTTTAATGCCAACGCGTTTCACCGCACAGACCGCAACACTGTCAGGGCTGGACTGAGTGAAAATGAGTGCTTGAAGGCATTTATATCCAACACATGAACAATGCCAATTTTTCAATTGGCTCATTGCATACAGTCATGACTTGCCACATCCAAATAAATCGGATCTTTGTCATTTTGACCTGAATTTGCGCATCATCTCTGTGATTTCACCTCACCTTTCACTGATGACAACTGTAGATATGTATTCGTTGTACATCGAGTTCTTCATTGCCAGTATATGCAAGGACTTCTTTGTCAGCAGATCTAATTTAGATTGG